GCCTAGATCAGAAGGCTTCTCGGGAGGGATGGGTCTTTTTTGTGCAGGGCTGTACTGTCCATTGTAGAACATTTATGATTCCTGACCTGCCTTTGTACCCAGACTAATAAACACTATAGTATCCTGTCCCAGAACGTGTTAGAAAGCCCCCAGAAATTTCCAAGCACCCCTTTGAACAGACGGTGCAGTCTAAGAGAGAATCCCTGGTCTCCCAGGGGAGAGGCAGTCTTCATTACCAGAAGAAAATGAGCTCAGCTGCTCTAATGAGATCCCCAAATACAGAGGGAAACTTCTCACCCAAACTATGTGGCCAAGGCAAGCTCTGCCTCGTGGTTGTTCAGCTGAAGTCACTGGAGGACAAAGGGAGAGTGGCTTTGAAGGGGACGGCCAGGTGTCTGTCCTAAGAGTTGTCCCCAGCCGGCCTTCCCACTCCCCCACTCACTGACCTCTGCCGTCTTCCCACCCAGTGGCCATCTACCTTGGGATCAAGCGGAAACCGCCCCCCGGCTGCTCCGATTCCCCTGGAGTGTGAAGCTGACCAGCTCGCGCCCTCCTGAGGCCCTGATGGCAGCTCTGCGCCAGGCCACGGCGGCCGCACGCTGCCGCTGCCGCCAGCCACAGCCCTTCCTGCTGGCCTGCCTGCACGGGGGTGCGGGCGGGCCCGAGCCCCTGTCCCACTTTGAAGTGGAGGTCTGCCAGCTGCCCCGGCCGGGCCTGCGGGGCGTGCTCTTCCGCCGAGTGGCGGGCACCGCCCTGGCCTTCCGCACCCTCGTCACCCGCATCTCCAACGACCTCGAGCTCTGAGCCTCCGTGGCCCCGGGTCCCTTTTTTTCTCTTTCCTGTTCTCTTCGCTTCTGCAGGAGGAAAAGGGGACAGGGAGGGTACCCTCTCCCTTTATCGTCGCCTTGGTTTCCCTGGCTTGGACTGGGGAGCAGAGGTCATCCCATCCCCGCTGCTGTTCTTGGGCTTCCCACGGAGAGAGGGAGGGAGGACTGGGAGGTGGGAGCTGGCGCCCGCCCGAAGCCTCCATCTGGTCCTGGCCCCCTCACCCTGCCATGGGGCACCTGAGAAGACTTTGGGGACAGGGCAGGGGCAGGAAGGGAAACTGAGGAAACTTCCATTCTTCCCAACAGCTCAAGAATTAGGTCTTGGGCAGGGGCAGGGAGAGCTGCTGAGCCTGGAGACTGGAGGGTCGGGGAGCGGCAGTGGGGTCAGAGAGGCCGATTCCTTCCCCTCCTGCCCCCCCATGCTCGAACCCCTCCTCTGCCCCAGGCTGGCGCAGGGGCACTTTGTACAAATCCTTGTAAATAACCACCCGTCTCCTCTGCAGAGGTCTCCCGAGGAGCTGCCGCTGTCACCTCCAGTTTTTAAGTTATTACCCCTGCCCTCCTGTCAGCCCCTCACCTGCAGCCTGTCGCCCAATAAACTTAGAAGAGTCCCCCAACGCCGGCCCGGGTCCTCTTGCCCTGCCCTGGCCTGCAGAGGAGGTGTTGACCTTGGGCCTGCGCCGCCCCTCCTGAGCCTCGGGGTCCTCTGCAGAATGGGAGTGGCGGGGGTGAGGATGATCATGGAGGAGGGCAGGACAGAACTCAGCCCCAGCCGCCAGGCCTCAGATCCTCGAGCAGGTCCCCTGTGCGTCCACTCCCGCCACCGTGTTACACTGGACTCTAGCCTCTTCCTACTCTAGTAGTACATTTATTCAATAAACAGTCATTGACCAGTGCCTACTCCGTGCCAGCCCCAGTACTGGACATGGAGACACAAGAAACCCCTGTCCATGGAAGACAAGCACTAGAGAAGCCATTGTCCTGGGCAGCCCAGAAGAAAGCCTGAGGAGGGTTGGGGAAGAAGCACCAGAGATACTGATACTGATGCTGGAGTTGGGCTTTGAAGGACGACTAGGAGTTGTCCAGTCCTTGGGTAAAAGCAAAAGCCCAGACAGAAGTGGGAGTGCATGGTGTAACTTGAGAGAACTCAGTATGTAACCTCAGCATGGCTGCTGTGTTGGGCATGTGTGGAGAATTAGCAAGAGAAATGCTGTATGAAGACTAACAATCTGTCTACACTGGCAAAGCAAAAAAGTGTGTGTTGGCTTGTTACTTAATAGTCCAGGGATTTCCAGCTTCAGGTATGGTTGGATTCAGGCATCAACACCCCCCCAATCATCAGTGTTTGTTCCAGTAGTTGCATCCAGCCCGCCCTTCCTGTTGGCAGGGTTGATGCCCACTGCGCCACAGTCTTGTCCCTCCAGCTTAGGTTGTGCCCCGGTGAGACCCACTCACCAGTTTGCGGCAGTCCTGAGATCTGCTCTGATTGGCCCGTATGAGTTATGTGGTCAGTCCTCAACCAATCAATGACTAGAGTGGCAAGATCCTTACCTAGAACGAACTTAAGCTTCCACCAAGGAAAGTCAAGACATCCAGGTGGGAGGGACGTGGGAGCCAGACTTCCGCAGGGGAAGGCAGAGCTTGTCCACATGGGGCTCAGGGGCCAAAGAGCACGCTGGGCCTTCTGAGTCTGGGGAGCCGTGAAGGGATTTGTGCGAGGGGCGGGGAGCTGAGTGTGTCGCCCAAAGCGTCCTTCGTGCTGGGACAGCCCTAGTATTTCCCTCCTCGAGTTCACAGCCCACTGACTTAGATGCGGCCTCAGACCGACCGTCCAGAGGAGGATCAGAGCTGACCAGGGCTTCCTGGAGGAGGAGGACTTGCATCCGAGGCAGAGGGCACGGTGCACAGTGGCTGGAAAGAGCACAGGTCCCTCCGCAAATGACACGTGACCCAGGATGAGCGCCGGCTCACTGAGATAGCAGGCAGCCTTGGAGATGGAGGAGAGAACCTGTGTTTTCTTCCATGGCCACTGGGGCTCCATGACAACATTGTGAGCCGGGAGGGACGGTGTTGATTTTTTTGTTTTTCTGAAGATGAGTTTTCGACATGTAGTTTAGGCTCAGGCTGGCCTCGAACTCGTTGCGATCCTCCTGCCTCAGCCTCCTGAGTGCTGGGATGACAGCCGTGCGCCACCACATCCGCAGAAAGGATTTTTCCTGTGTGCCGGGTGGATGGGGAAGGAAGGAGAGATGCCAGGGTGCAATTCCTGACAGACTTAAGTGGCTTATGTGGAAAATGGGGAAGATGTGGTCACTGACAGGTGCACAAGCTGCGAACTTGGCCGGCTTGGACTGTCCCCATTGAGTGTGTCTCTTGGCCTCTGGGTGTGAGGCTAGAATTAGCAATGGGACCAGCAGTTGATGATAAAACTGTAAAGGAGATCCTGGTGTCCTTCGCTGGAAATCTAACCTAGGGTCCTCACGCTGAGCTACATCCTCAGCCGTTTATTATCTTTTTACTTTGAGACAGGGACTCACTAAGCTCCCCAAGCTAGGCTCAGACTTTCAATCCTCCTGCCTCAGGCTCCAAGAGTGTTGGGATTACAGGCGTGGGTCACCACGGCTCGCTGATCTTTGGATATCTTCTAACTTTCCTGTTTCAGTGATCCTGAGAACCCTTGGGGACACCCTTGGGCCTCAGTTTCTCCTCTGTGTAAGAAGATGCTCTTCCTGATCTCTAAGGGGACTTAGTCTGTGTCTCTTAAGAGTTGAACAACAACAGCAAAAAAGAATAAGCCGGATGCGGTGGTTCAGGCCTGTAATCCTAGCACTTGGAAGGCTGAGGCAGGAGAATCACTGTGAGTTGCAGGCCAGCCTGGGCTACAAAGAGAGTTCAAGGCCAGGCTGACCTGTGTAGTGAGACCCTGTCTCAAAAAGACGAAAAAACCACCACCACCAGCAACAAACAAAACAGAGTTGAACAAAGTATCTCTGCCCGGTTCCTGCGGCCTCTGGCTCCTGCTATCTCTGCCCCACATTTCTTTTTCTTTTCTTTTCTTTTCTTTTCTTTTTTTTTTTTTTTGTCTTTGTGAGACATGGTCTCCCTATGCAGTTCAGGCTGGCCTTGAGCTCACTCTGTAGCCCAGGCTGGTCTCGAACTCACAACGATCCTCCTGCCTCAGCCTCCTGAGTGCTGGAATTATAGTCGTGTGACTCTAGGGCCCGCGTTTCTGAAACCTATCTTTTTTGGGCCCGCCCACTACGTCCTTGGCAGGACGCCTTGACCTGTTTGGCTGAGTGGAGGTTATTGATGCACTCAGCAACCAATAGACATTCAGATGCCAACCGACTGGTCTAACCTCTTGGTTGCCATGCCATGGCTCCCTTTGGCTCCTTCCTGGGACCAAGCTCCCCAAAAGACCCATCTTGGACTTCTTAAGGATGCTCTGACCCAAGCTCCAGACTCGGGAAGGAAAAGTCACCGAGGTGGTACTTGCAGAGTGAAAGAGCAATAAGCGGGGGAGAGCTGCAAAAATGAGCTCCAGCCTATGTATTTTAGTGTGACCTTGAAGACTCATGAGTAATGGGAGCACACTAGGAGTGTGGGGACCGTGACAGGTTCCTTACCAAAAGCAAGAGCATTTCAGAAGGCTGCCAGCTGCCAGGTGTGGTGGTGCTCACCTGTCATCTCAGCACTCAGGAGGCTGAGGCAGGAGGATCGCTACAAGTTCAAGTCCAGCCTGAGCTACATAGTGAGTTCAAGGCCAGCCTGGACTGCACAGAGACCCTGTCTCAAAAAAATAAAAGGCTGGCAGCTGTAGAGGATGCAGTAGAGTGGACAGGAGGAAGCCAGTGAGAAGTGCTCCATGGCCAGACTCAGACGTTCTGTTTGGCCTGCTTTGCCCCTTCATGGCCTGTGTGTTTGAGATCTGAGATCGACTGACTGAGAGAAGTTCGAAAAGGCCCAGGCGTGGCTGTGTGACGGTGGGCCTCATCTGTCAGCTCACATTCTCCCAGCTTTATCCAGCCTTATCATCGTGGGATTAGCCGGTACTCTATCGTCATTTTAGAGACGGGATAAAGCACACCGAGAAAGGGCAAACCATCTGGAGGACACAGTGGCCAATGGCAAAAGACCCTCTCCTCCTCTCTCAGCGACTGTCGCACACACAGCCAAGGCCGCCGTTGCTTTTATTCATTTATTGTTTTGTGTGGAGAAGCCGCGGAGCGCCAGATGTGCTGGGGGCTGCTCTACTTCTGGGCAGGGATCATGTCGTCGATGGCCTGGCCCTTCTCCAGCTTCTTCTCCATCTCCACCATGAGCTTCACGCCGTCCACCACCAGCTGCACCTGCTCTACCTCGGAAGAGCCCAGCCGATCGGCGTTGGAGATGTCAAACACCGAGCCCACGGCAGCCGTGTCCACACCACCTGCGGGAGCAGAGGACCGGCATGAGCGGGAGCACAGCGGCTGGGGGCGCCCAGGACAACCGCGGCAGCCGCGTGTACGGAGTGCCTGCCCCAGCGGGTTAGCGTACACAGAGCCTGGTAGTGTCTGTCTACTCGGGACCCCGTGTCCAGCTTTAGATATGGTAGGTGCCTCATCTCTCAACCACCCAACATGAAAACAGCAAATGTGGTGGCGCACGCCTGTAAACCTCCTAGAGGGCTGAGGCAGGAGGATCGCAGCAAGTTCAAGGCCAGCTGGGGTTACATAGTGAGTTCAAAGCCGGCCTGAACCACATAGTGAGACTGTCTCAAAACACACATGCGCGTGCAAAAGAAAAAGAAAATCTACAGCTACCAGAGGTTGAGTTCTGACCACACCCCATTTACAAATGGGGAGACTAAAGTCCCAAGGGAGGTTAGGGGATAATATCATGCTAACTCCTATGAGACGTGCTCCTGCCCGTTTTACAGAGGAAGAAACTGAGGCTCACAGAGGGGCAGCCCTTACCGATCCCAGCACTCGAGGGAATGCCCCGCCTGCCCTTCCACCCGCCCCCAGAGGCTGGGGTGCAGGAGAGGCCCCGGACGCACCTGTGCCCCGCTTCTGCAGGCGCAGGCGGGTGAGAATCTCCTCGAACTTGGGGTGTTTGCTGAGGTGCGCCAGCTTCACATGCACGCCGCCACGCAGCCCGGTGCCCAGATTGGACGGGCAGGTGAGCACGTAGCCCAGGTGCTCATTCCACATGAAGGGGTGGCCAGCTTTCTTAAAGATCTCCTCGATCTGAGGGGTGGGGAGGACCAAGAGTTAGGGCCAGTGGTCACCCCCAAACACTGCCGGGCTCGGAGGGACAGGGCGCGTGGACGTGAGTGGAGACAGGTGTGGAGGGGTAGAGCTGAGGAGCGCAAACGGTGGAGAGAGCCCTGCTACAGAGAGGCCAGCTGGCTTCTGAGGGGCGGGGCTTGCGGACACGGGAGGAGGGTTCTTAAGGCCCGCCTTGAGCATATGGGCGGAGCCAATGTTGGGACGGGGCCTCGGAAATAGCGAGATTCTAAGGGCGGGGCTTGGCACAGGAAGGGCGGGTCCTTGGGAAGAGGTAGGCTTTGTGGGCGGGGCTTGCATGGGCCGGGCAGGTACTTTGGAAGTGGGTGGAGCGCGCAAGCGGGAGGAGCGCTTAGAAGCGTGGGGTAGACGCTCACCTTTTGCAGCCCCACGCAGAAGCGGCGGAAAACCTCCTTCATGTTGCCCCCCTTCTCCATGGAGATGACCCGAAGGTGGTCCTCCTCGTTCACCCACACCAGGAAGCTCTTGTTATCATTGTGCCTAGGGTGGGGGCCGAAGAGGGCAAACAGTCAGTGCCCAGGGACACGTTCCCTGTCATCTCCCAAACACAACCCCGACTGGGGGAGGCTGGCCTGAGGGGCAGGAGATGAGTGGATTGGTTTCCCGACAATCACAGCAGCTTAAGCCCGAAGACTCTGAAGGCCCTGCCTCCGCAAAACCCCAAGCCCAGACCAGAAGGACTAAATCTGGACAGCATTACAGGCTCTTATGGCTGGGGTGTCGCTCAGTGGTAGGCACTTGCCTGGCATGCAAGAAGCCATGGGTTCCATTTCCAGCACCAAAAAAATTTTAAAAAGAAAAGGAAATTGCAGATTCCTGGAATCTCAGGCTCTGGCCCCCAGCAGCTTGGAATCAGAGTAGCTGAGCCTGGATATTCCTAATCTGCAGTATCCCAGATCCAAGCATCGGGAAATAGGCTTAGAATCGTAAATATTAAGACCTGAAGGGGAGCTGTGTGCGGTCGTGCAGGCCTGTACTCCCAGCACTCTGGGAGGCTGAGGCAGGAAGATCACAGGTTCAAGCCCAGTCTAGAAAATTTAGCAATATAGGCGAAACTCTGTCTCAGAATTTTATTTTTTTTTCCTGTTTCAGAATGTTAAAAGAACAAAATAAATTTTAAAAAGGGCTGGGGACCCTGGCGTGGTGGCATATGCCTGTAATCCCAGCACTTGGGAGGCTGAGGCAGGAGGATCACTGTGAGTTCGAGACCAGCCTGGGCTACAAAGTGAGCTCAAGGCCAGCCTGAACTGCATAGCAAGACCCTGTCTCAAAAAGACCAAAAAAAAAACAAAAAAAAAACCCAGCCTGGACTACATAGCCAGACCCTGTCTCAAAATAAAAAATAAAATAAAGACAGAGGATGAAGCTTAGAAGGCCCTGGGTTCAACCCCCAGTACTGGGGGAGAAAATCTAGTACATAAATTATTTAATCCTTGGGGCTGGGAATTTAGCTCAGTGGCACAGTGCTTGCCTAGCAAGCGTGAGGTCATGAGTTCGATTTCCGGTACCAGAAAAAAAAAAGAAAAACCAAAAGAAAAGTTATTTAATCCTGGTAAGGGTTCCAAGGGCCAAGAATTATTGTGATCCCTGTTTCACAGCTGGGGAAACTGGCCAACCTGCCCAAGGCTGCACAACTGAATGGCTTTTTTTCTTCTTTGAGACAGGGTCTTGCACTGCCCAAACCGGTCTCAAACTCCAGGGCTCAAGTGACCCTTCCACCTCAGTCCCCCACAGTAGCTGGGCCCATAGGAGCGTGCGGTCACACGGCCAGAAAGCGACGGAGCTGGGCTTGGAGCCCAGGAGTCTGGTTTGCCTCAATTCTTTATTGCACTTCTGTGTTCCAAGTTTCCCAAAATATGACACGCAGACCTCGGGACGGCAGGGTGCATGGCAAGGTCATGCCCTCCACCGTGGCAGAGGCATGAAGGGCATCCCAGGGCACCAGAAGACCCTGGGGGAGGAGGAAGCTGGGAGAGACGGGCTCACCAGATACCACGCGCGTCGGGCCAGTCTCGGGCCATGCCTGAGGCCAGCAGCAGCGGGGACACGGGCTTGTCGAACAGGAAGTGGTCGTCGATGAGCTGCTGCTGCTCCTTCTCGGTCATGCTCTTCAGAGGGTAGTACTTGCCCTTGAACTCACCCGTCAGGCTGTTGAGGGCTGAGGGGCCGCACAGCGGGTGGTCAGGAGCTCACCCCACTTCGGCCGAGCTGTGCCCCCCCCCAGCCCATGGGTGCCCCGAAGGCACTCGCACAATGTGCATACAGACCTGAGCCCAATTTGATCCCTCCCTGGCTGCCCCCAGGAACAAAGAGCAGACCCCTCCCATCCAGTCCTCCTGCAGTGCCGAGGAAGGGCTGAGGCAGGAGAATCGCCACAAGTTCAAGCCCAGCCTGGGCTCCACAGTGAGTTCAAGGTCAGCCTGCACTACAAAGCAAGCCCTTGTCTCAAAAAATAACAACAAGTAAATAAAGTAGACTGTTATTCATATATACTTATGTCTTCAATATGTGCCTATGGAATAGATTTGCATATATGATAAATATTTATGTAATATTTATACATTATATGTATTTAATACTTTGTAATATTGTTATGGCTTATGTTAAGATTTTTTTAAAGTGTTATGTAGCTATAGGTGGGTTTCTTCAGAGGTGGCTGGATCTAGAGTGTGTGATGATGGGAGGAAGGGTGTGTGAGTATTAAATCAGACCGCTGATTGGTTTGGGATCCACCCTAAACCCGATAGCCTAGAATACAAAAGGGGCAGAAAAAAGCTGGTAAGGTCACTTGGACTTGCTTCTTCACCACTTTGTTGCTTTGCTACCTTCTGCTCACCATGAACAGTTTCTCCTCTGTGATGCTTGTCTGCCATGCCACCCTGCCCTGCCTTGGAGCCAGCCAAGTATAGAGTACCGTAAGGCAAAATAACTTTGGGCATTGGGTATTTTGTCTTAGCAACAAAAAAAAGTAACTAAAGCCAGGTATGGTGGAGAACACCTGTAATCCCAGTACTTGGGAGGCTGAGGCAGGAGGGGCACCATGAGTTTGAGGCCAGCCTGGGCTACATAGTAAGTTCAAGGCTAGCCTGAACTATGCACCGAGACCCTGTCTTCACACACACACACACACACACACAAACACAGGCACACATACATGCACACAAGCAACTAAAACAGAATTTGGTAGTAGAAATGGGGTCATTGCAGTGACTG